TACTTATTTACCATATACATGTAGAAGCCTGACAAAAATTTATCAAAAACACGTATGTTCGCCAACTCATCTTCTGAACTCACATCCATTTGTTAAATTATCTAACGCGTTTCGGTGAATAGCACCAAAGTATCAATTTCGCTCGTATAGCACTGCTCAATCATCGTGCAGATTAGGAATTCAACATTTTCTAAATCTATGGCAAGCAAGATGAACAGTGCACGTATTTTTCAATCTATTAGGGGCTATCAGTTAATCTGTGTGCACGCTTTGTGTACCTTAAAAAATCCTACGGAGCCTGTTTCTTTGTCTGAATATAGCATCTGAGAACCGTGAGTTTCTAGACTGCACACAATTTGACTACTCCAAGGAATTATCAAAACGGAATCGAATTTTAATATTCACGTGGAATGGCGCTGCATATAATCAAAAAATAAAAAGATTATGCGAATTCTGCCGTTCGGTTATACGCTATGTACTCAAAAATGCATGTTCTACTGTCTGGTATGCTCGTTACATGAAATATATTTGGCCCTCAGTTCCGTATTGATCACCAGCAGCATCTGCTGTCGCGTTCACACATCAATACGTAAGCCAGACATGGCTCTTAGTCAAATATATGACTGGATTCCATGTAGATATTCGTCAGACATTCTAAATATAAACGTTTTTGAATGCACTAGCTTCCTGTTCATGATGAATCATAATGTATGGGGACTGCATACAAAGCAGAGTACAATTCATTTTATTTTAGGTGCATGAGCGTTAGACTAGTGCAGCTGCAGTCGGCATGGATGGATATAAAGGTTAAAAAGATTGGCTGATGGCGAATTAAGGAGTACAGTCTAGCACAGTCTTAGCTTTTATGGAGGTCTTTACCCAACCATGGAACAATAAGCATTAAGCGAGGCGTTATCTATGTCCGCTGGTTATACTCACTCCTGACATGCATAACCACAGTAATAAAGTGACTAATTCACAGATAATTTCTTAAGAAGAGAGGAAGGCTATTTCAAATAGCACTGTACGTCCTCTCTTTCTCAAGAATCAATACGTTCCCTGTTATTGGCACCGGCAATTAATTTGGATGCAGTAACTCATGAGACAGTCTTACATGTTGGTGACTGAACACACAAGTATTTTTTTCTGAAGCCCCATATCATAACTTAATCATTAACACTCTTGTTCGACTGATAAACTTAATGACGCAACGCTCGGGCCCCAATTAGAAAGGTGGCTAGGCTTATAGCTGGTCCATCGGAAATGGAAAACCGAGACAACAGACCGAGTCTCGATAAGGCCTACAACTATCTAATTATTGCTGCTGTATTTCCCCGTTATTCGGCGAGGGAAAACATCTGTCGTCGCCAGGTCGTAACAATATTCTTTGACTACGGTATTTCTGTTCATATACAGTATATTGGAGGCACTTTGAAGTTAATTTATGCGATTGATAAACACAAAAGCTCAAGATGCATTCATAATATGTTTAAATAATGCTCGCTAGAAACAACACGTCAATTTATGACAATTGCTTACCACATTTGGGATAATCAGCAGCATTTTCTTCACAGATAACTGTGTCCTTTTTGACAACCCTCACATTCTAAGAGTGCAAAACAGCTGTATGAAAGCATTAAGAGATGGAAAACCTTCCAGTAGGAATAAAAGAGACTATGAAGATAAAAATTTATCTTCAATTTTCTTAATCGGGTACGTGATATGAGAGGTTGTTCCACTGCGACGAGTTGGTTGTGACCAAAAATTAATTCACAGTCTTTCAGAACGGTCTCCCTTATTGCTCTCTGTCGGCTCACTGCTTATTATTTTCCGTTCTTGGGCCTTTCATTTTCTAATCAGTACCACTCATTCAAATATGAAAAGTGCCAAACGTTTAATATATATGCATATACGTAACGCAAGGGAACCTGTCCAACCAAAGAAGGACACCAGACGGATGTGTGTCACGTTATCAAGTTCTCTCTTACCTTTTTGCTTGAGCGTTGGAACGCGCATCTGATATCAGCATAGTTTGAAGAGGGAGATGGACAGTGAACGAAGGGTTGTGAGTACTTCGGTGAAAATAAAACTACAAAGATAAAGTCTTTTGATTAGCTGCTTACTGTCGTACAGACTATGTAACACAGTAATCAGTTGGGAATACTAGTAAGATCTGGTTTGGCTATATTATAACCACTTGTCCTCAAAGAAAGAGTACTAATTTTAGCGTGTGTGGTTGCATTTATTTACCTTCTAGCCACTTAATGTTGTAGTTAATATAGTTAGCGCGAATCCATGGAAAATACGGTTGTGTTACATATCACATGCAGAGACACTAACTACGCCGCTGCTATTGAACGTCTTGGTCTCCAATGCTAGTCCGCACTAGGGATATGATCAACGACCGCATGCGCGTAAGCATATGTAGTGTTGCAAGGAAAAATGTTTACGCCCATTTGTCGTCAGCGACAAAAATGATGCACAACATGGGCAGAACTAACCACATGTAGTTTACTAGCAATAAATCACATGTAAGATTTGTTGCTTACGCATGGAGACTGCAATGTAAGTCTTGCATTCATACCATTATATGCTCATAAGTCTTACGCCATATATGCTTCAGTTTGAAACCACGGATCGTCATAGTACCTGTTAAGCTTTTTCTTACACAGAAGCGTACTCAAAAGTATATAATTTATGACATTAACACTCGAAAACGGGTTACACAGTTGGAGTCAGGAAATCGTGAGCTCCGACAACAATGTAGCTGAATGATTGAATGAACATTAGCTGAGCTAACTAAAGTAAAATATATAAGTTTTGGCACTGTTTGTTGGCATTAACGCATGATTGGTCAAATCCTTGGGTTAACACTCACTAATTAACTGAACATTGTTATCAGTATGAGAACGATAATAGTGTTTGCATTAGGTTCATCGAGATATTTCTCTAAATCCGGCTTTATGTGCTGTTCATAAATGTTCAGCTTACTGCTTTATACGGATCTCTGCCTTATGTTTCCTTTTCAAATTGCAGTAAACACTATGTTCTCAATGCAAAAATTTAATTTTTGCTACTATGTTAATATCTATCCATCAGGTGATGTGTGAAATATCCTTGCATAATTTACCGTAAATTCTAAAATTCATTTTCCATTTTCCTTTATCTTGTGGTTTTCTAAAAGTAATTCTAAAATTTTGGTGAGTTCACATATGTTTGCCCGTGACTAGGTTTCCAGACTTATCAGTTTCTCTTTCTGCATATAGACATATATATATACATAGCATTTTCGCTTTTTATTTTGTAGTTAAAAAGGAATAACTGGTTAGACGCACATTGTTCCACGTCTGTCAAGTCTTTCCGATAAAGAATGTATGGCTGCGGGTGTTTAGCATCAGAATTGCGGAAAAGAATGGTTTGAATGTCCCTTTTGATGACGTTGTGCATTTCAAACTTTAACACTTTTGTTTCGCGAACTAAAATGATAAGCATAGAGTAGTCATTACGCCAGAATTTATAACTCTATCTTATGCACTGGAAGATTAATATCGATAAGCAACCTGGTTACTATTCGCTTTTCTCAAAAGGAACCGAGGAAACTTACCTTGCATTAGTCTTTACTGCCAGATCGTGATAACAAGCAAAAAATAAGGAAGAAAGGCAAAATGATACTCCAGACCATCGAAAAAAGGTCTGCACCTCACGCTTACTGAAACACTGCTAACAACCTGAATTAAGAATTACGAATCAAAATCGAGCCCTTTGGGGACTCACTAATCTTATTTCTTTCTCCGTTTACAACACAGGTCGACCTCACCATACTTAATGTTACATTTAAATAGTCTTCTCTGCCCCTATCATTGACGAGGGCTGCGTTTTTTGTAACCCTTGTGATACCAAACGGCCTAACACAACTATTCTGTTTCATCAATATATTATGTCTAATGGCAGATATTTTTCATCGGGTGGAAGAAACCATAATGCTAGCTCCATTCCTTTCAGTGGACGGCTCCATTTTCCTATACCTGTACATAAGGTTACGGGAAATTAAGATAGCCTGCCTCGACAGACGTCATGATGTATAAAGCATCATCTGTTAAGTAAGTATAAGGTACGAAGTCTAACAAAAATAAATAACACTCTTTTTGCGAGATCTGTTTGCCCGCTTGCACAAAACTGCGACTTCGTGAAATTATATTCAAAAAATATGAAAAACATAGAGTATAACAATTTATACTTCATGCTACCATACGCAGTTTACAAGCGTAAATATTTTTTTAATTTATATATTTATATATATATATATATCACTCAGGAAAAATCCGTGGACAGCGAGACAACCAGTCAAACGTAAAATATCATTACTAAAAATAAGGATTCAAGTTCACAGTTTATCTGCATGGACAGTAGTAGAATTGCCGATAGAAACAAAAATCCGAGTTCCAGGAAGCAGTTTAAGAAATAGAAAATGCGATCGCTGGAACGAGAATGTTATTTGCCCGATGCTCTGGATTCTGCCGTAAACCCTTCAACAGAAGTAACCGTAGAATAGGGTGATATATGAACAAGTTATGCAGTATTTATAATTTGTAGTGGTCATGCGACCACATGCGAACTATAATCGTCAACTTCCGTAACCACCGCTGGGGTCGTACTTGGTGCGGTGATGGCTGGACTGTGGCGCGCGGAGACGGGTTCACCGACGCCGTAAGGCGACCAATCGGCTAAGTGGTGGCATGTTGCTGGTGAAGAGAAAGAGAGTGAGGTCGATCCTCAGTGCATTTTTTCCTAACTATAATCAATCTGGCGCGTTAGGAGCTATATTGGTATGCCAAAAGCCGTAGTCTAGAGGGTTGCCAACTTCTGGGATAACTCGGACACTGCAGTCAACCTAGTGTGTATCTTTTTATGTTAAGTGGCTAACTAGCGGGCTGAGAGTCAGACTGCAATGGGTCCTTTTCAATGTGGGCGAGAATTTTGCAAAACTGCTTCGGCTGAGTATGGCCAAACAAGTCCGCGAACACAAAGCGAAGGGCGAAGTAGCCCTGGAGATTAAATGTCGCATGCTACCTAGTCCAATTTTATCTAAAGACGACAAATTGGTGCACAACCTGTCTTTGAAGGAGCTGACGGAGAAAAAAATGCGGATGATAATGTATGAAGCCTTATTTAACACAGCTGATGCCAATTCTGCGAACATGGTTGCTGCAGTAAAGGCAATTCACAGCCAAACAGAAGCGATGAACGAAGCAAAGACGCTTTTACGGCACCAAGTGTCATCTCTCCTCAGGGCTCATAGACCACGCAACGCTCTCTCCACAGTCGAATGTTAAGCACATAGAAACTCAGAGCAGACAATGACCCGTTATCATGTCTGCGGACAAGAGTCGCTAAGCTGTTGTATTGGACAAGACAGACTATAATCACAAAGCTAAAAATTTGTTATAGGATCGTCCATCGTACGTCCCATGCAAATCCAACGTAATAAAAACGCTGACACGCGAGATCAACCGAATGGTCTTGGCAATGGAGAACTCGAATGAAATATCGCCAATCGACTAGCGCATCGAGATAGCGCAGTAAACGGCCCTGCCCACTTCTGTGGTGTTCCCCAAGTGCACAAAGAGGGCACATTTCACTGGCCAATCGTATTTCTCAAAGAAACTCCAACCTACGCACTGGAAACGTGGCTGTTTGGACGACAGACTTTTGTGATGCCTGATTCGGACACCACAGTCAGGTCGTCAACACAATTCTTGCAGAAACTTAAGGAGCTAAGCCTATTGCCAAAAGACGTCATAGTATCTTTTATTGCCATGTATATTTTCGCTTTTAGTCCACAAGACCCGGCAGTCGAGACCATCTAATTACTACTGCAAGACAAATACGATGAAATGAAGAATCATATCGGACACGTCTAAAGCCTCCAACTCCTAAAGTTCTGCCCAAACACGTACTTTACCTTCAAAGGGACAATCTATGAGCAGGTGAAGGACACGCCTATGTGTTCGTATTCAGTTTCTGGACATCGGTTGGAGTCGTTGGTTTTCCAACATCACAGACCGAAGTTCTGGGCTTGGTATATGGACGACAACTTCGCCTTAATCGAACGGGCTCCGGTGCGAACGAACGTCTAAACGCCGTCTTCCCGGACATTCAATTTAAAACGGAGGGAGAGAAAAACAAGAAGCTAGCCTTTCTGGATGTCCTCGTTTGCCACAAAGACTGTGGTGTCCTAAAAATTAAAGTATTCGGGAAAGCGTTCAACCTTATGCAAGTCCTGAACTTCAACAGAAAACACCCGATTAGTCACAAAATTAGCTGCGTGAGAGAGTTTTACCGACGCATTGAGACGCATTGCAGCGAAGTGGAAAACAAGATTGCTGAATTACGATATCTTCCATGGGTAGTGAGAACGAATGGTTAACCGCGTAATTTGGCCAACCTGTGCATACGCAGACAAGACAAGAAACCAAATCCAATCGGCCCAAATCTTGGCGACCTGTTCCGTACGTGAACAATGTATCGGAAGTAGTCACACCACTTGGAGGTAGAGTTGGGCACAGGCCAAAAGCAACCACCAGGCGCCGGCTTATGTGGCAAAAAGATATACTGCCACGGCTGGAAAAGTTTATCAGATCTGGTGCAATTTTGGATTGAGCAAGTACGTCGGAGAAACCGGGAGATAACTGCGGATGCGAATAGCCAAGCAGGCAGCAGCTGTGAGGGAAAAATACGCTAACACCAAGGTTGCAGCTCACGCGACGGGACCCAGCAATATTTGCAAGTTTACCGAGGCCGAAATCTTCGCAAGAGGTCATAACCTTGTGATTCGCGAGCTGCTCGTGTCACAGTTCTCAGGCCCACAGTCAATCAACAGGCGCAACAAATTGCTGCTCCCATACTTCGTACTAAGGCACTGTATGAGCAGGAGAATCAGTCACGTGGAAAGAGCCGGACCCAGCAACACTTTTGCCGACATAAATCATAATTTTCGCGTAATTATCAAGCCCGTATCCAACACGGATGAAAAAATTGTGGCATTTAGTGATTCTAAATCGAACTGCCAATTATTACCACCAGCGATGGTTAAGAGAACTGATAATTATGGTACACATGCAGTCGCTTGGCCATTACGAACTAAAAATACTGCGTAATCTATGCATATATCATCCTAATCTGTGCGTACATCATCCTTTTATACAGTTACCTCTGGGTAAGGTTTTTTGACGGAATCCGAAAAGTCAGGCAAATAATGTCCCTGTTCCAAAGATTGCATCCACTATTTCTGGTTGCACAATTCTATTTCTACACCATCGTTCAAATATTTCGATTCGAGAGTGTTTGCCAGATTGACAAGTGTGCAATTGTTGGTTAATAGTTACGTGTCCAAGAAGAAGATGCGATCGCTGGGACAAGACTTTTATTCGGCCGATGTTTCGAGACAGAGACATTAACATAAACAGTAGCAGGAATGGGACCGTAAACATCTGTTAGACTGCCAATAGAGGAGAATATCCGAGTTCCAGGAAGCAGTTCAGAAGGAGAAGAAGCGATCACTGGAACAAGAGTTTTATTGCCCTGACGTTTCGGATTCCGTCGGGAATCCTTATTCCCCCCTAATTTGCGCCTGT